TTTTCGGTCAAGCATCGTAAATACAACTCAATTACACCTCATTCCATATCCAATCATCCAATAACTAATCCATCATCACCATACATCACATAATATCATCAACTGCAAAATAATGTATCATATAATCCGGTTGACAAGAAAAAGGCTCAAGGTTCAAATGGGCTACAATTGAAAAATATATTTAAGGATAAAGAAACAAGGTCAAACGAGCTAAGTCAAAAACCGCCTAAATCATTTTCAAAGTTCACAATCATTCATGCAATTTTTTTCAAGTAAGACTCAAGGCAAATTTTAATAACACGGGCATCTAATCGACATCACACAGACAAGGAATAAAGGCTCAAGTCTCTCACGCTCAATATATTGCTAATTCAAGACTCACAAGTATTTTCATCTAAGCATGACTTTTACAATCCCATCATAATTCCTCAATCACATCAAATCACCATTCACTATTCAAGTTTTATCCATCATTCAGCCAAGCAAAAGAAATACACAAGGAACCGATTCAAGCAAATTATTACTATCACTTTTTTTTTATTTTTTTTTAAATAAAAAAATTAAATTAAATTAAATAAAACGAAAAGAAATAAGAAAATAAAAAAATAAAAACGATAAACGATGGGTTGCCTCCCAACAAGAGCTTAGTTTAACGTCTTTAGCTAGACGTCTTTCGAGCTCTCAATAAGGGTCATCCCCGTTTATCCCAATCTCCTCCTTGATCTCCTCATGACGTCGGCTACCGTCTTTTGGCTCTTGAATTTTCCAACCCCGGGCAAGTGTAAAAGTTCAGCATTCATCATAAGCTCGAAAAGTAATCTCACCAAGATCCATGTCAATAAGTACTCTCCCGGTGGCTAGGAATGGCCTCCCTAAAATCAACGGTGCATCACCGTTATCCTTCATGTCTACCACCACAAAATCCGCCGGAAACTTAATTCCATCAACCGTCAACCAAACATCCTCTACAATTCCTGTAGGACGAACTTGGGATTTATCCGCCATTTGAAGAGTGATTATAGTTGGTTGAAGCTTCTCCAATATCAACTTCTTGTAAACTGAGAGTGGCATCAAGTTGACGCCCGCCCCTAAGTCGCATAGCCCTTTCCCGGTATGTAATTCTCCAAATGCACAATCGATATAAAATCCACCAGGATCTTCGCACTTAACATGACGGTCCCTTTGAAATATTTCACTACTCTCCTCCATTAGTTCAACCACTTCATGAGCCTCAACCAGCCTTTCCATCTTCCCGTCTGAATAAGCCACAACTGTCTCTGCCTCCAGTTCCTTTTCCTCTTGCTCATGCGCCTTCTTCACCTCAGTCGAGACGTTATCTATCATCTCTTGAGCATCCCCAACTTTGCAATCCTTTGGGTTAATCTCCGTATTACTTGAAAATTGGCCCTCTTGTTGTTGACTCTCGACCATCGCGGTCATTTGCCCCACGTGTTGCTCCATCGACTTCATTTGATTCTCAAACGTAGAGAACTTAGCATGAATGTCACCCATGAATTTTTGCGTCAGAGTCATGAACGAGGCGAACATATTTTCAATTGTCAGCTTCTTCGACTCATTGATGATCCCATTAGTCACTCTTTGATATTTCCAGAAATTGTCGTAATTCTGGTCATGCAAATAATTCACGTTCTGGACGGGTTCATACATTGACACCGCATTCACCCCGAATGTCTCGTTCTTCATCACTTGCCTGCCGTCATTCACCAGTGTGACTATTTGAGCTACCAACTTCGAAAATGGGTTCGTCTCATTGGCCACCACCACCTTCTTGAGCATTGTCCGCTCAACCGGCCACTGGTAACTATTGGACGCCATCTCTTCGATAATTTTCAACGCCTCACGTGAACAACGTCCCCAAAAGAGAGCCTCCGGCCGAAGCATCTACCATTGCCTTCATGTTTCTATTCAACCCATTGTAGAAGTAGCATATTTGATAATCCTTGGAATACCCGTGCTGTGGGCATCTCCAGAGGAGTTGAGTGAAACGCTCCAAGGCCTCACAAAATGGCTCTCCATCTTGCTGCTTGAACTGGGTGATCTCGGTTTGAAGCCTTAACATCTTGCTTGGCAGAAAAAATTTCAATAGGAATTGTCGGTGCATGTCATCCCATGAAGTGACCATTCCGACTCTCAACGACCTGTACCACATCTTCGCCTTATCTCTCAAAGAAAAAGAGAAATGCTGAAGCTTGATTGCGTCGTCTGGTACTCCATTGATCCTGATCGTCCCACAAATCTCCAAAAATTGCGCAAGATGTGCATTCGGGTCCTCGGTTTCATCTCCCCCAAACTGTTATTGTTGCACCATTTGAATTAATTCAGGACTCAATTGAAATGTATTGGCCGCTATCCTCGGTCCATGGCCTCCACCAAAATATTGATCTGCCGGTGGTTGGAAAATTGAACGTATCGGGTTGCCTTGCACTATTTGGGTCTGTTGCTCCGCCACTTGATGTTGCAACTCCACCAATTGCTCTTGGAGTTATCTTATGAGTTCCACTTGCTCGGCCATTGTAATCTCGCAAGAAAAAAAGAAAAATAACAAAGTATTATAGAAGAAAGGAAAAAAAAAAACGAAAATAAAATTAGAAAAAGAAAATGTCTAAACTAATATATATCCGTCTTCTTCTAATATTAATCAATTTAACAAACAATCCCCAGTAACGGCACCAAAAACTTGTTCGCAAAATATTTTCACTATCCGCAAGTGTACAGTGTAGCTATAGTAAGCGGCGAGCAATGTCGTATTCCATAGAGATTGTTGTTAAAATAATCAAGTACCAAAATAGTAAGCGGCGAGCAATGTCGTATTCATTGACGATTAAATATTATTCAGACTAACTCAAATTTGGATGGTGATTTTTTTCTAAACCAATGAATGATTGCAAAATAAAGTCTAACACTAATGAAGGCTTGTTCTAAGATAAATCAAGAAAATAGATTCTAGGCTATGCTTTCCTCAGGATTGTTCTAGCAAAGATTTCTTATTAATTCAAACCATATTTAATTCTACCAATCGTAGGGATAATCACTAAATCAATTTACACCTTTCTCTCGAACAAGTTAAATCGTAGATATTAATTGTTATCTATCTCCTCTCAGTCTCAAGATGAACAACTAACTCTCATAAGCTCCTAAGATTCTAGTTCCCTCGCAAGATTCTATCAACCTCTCGGTCTGTTTAGTCTCTTACGTTATGAATTTCCCAATTCTAGCATTTAACTATCTCCTCTCGGTCTCAAGTCAATTACAAATATGCATAAATACGGGCCCCATATTCACACAATTCATATAAGCACAAGAAATTGATAAACGAATGATAAACCAAAATGAATAAACAAAATTACTTCAAAAAATAATCCTAGTACTCACAAATCCTAGAATCCCTAAAAGGTTTAGCTACTAAACATATTCTCAAAACTCAAAATAAATAAATCCATGAGTTCAATGAAGAAGAAAAAGAGAAAAGAAAGAAGAACTATTGTCGCCGTTAGTTCCCGAATCTTCAATCTTGACTTCCTCGAATCCCTTGTGTGTTTCGTGCTTTCTCGAGGCCTCCAATCATGTCAAAAGTCCCAAAATCGAGTTCTTCAAGTCTCTTTTATATTGTAGGGCAATTATGAGTCCAAAAAGGGAAGAAATCGCATAAGAATCCTAGTTTCCGCTGGTGTGTCTGCGTGTCACACGACTTGTGTCACTGACCCACACGAGTAGTGTGGTTTATCTCCAATTTTCGGCAAACTCATAGACTCACACGACCGGGTCACACGACCCGTGTGAGTCCACACGACCCGTGTCACATTGTCACACGACCCGTGTCACACACCACACGACTCGTGTGAAAATGTCGTAACAAAACGTCCCTTTTTCCTCATCCACACGACTCGTGTCACTGACCCACACGAGTCGTATGCCTCAACTGCACCTGATTTTCGTTGTTTTTTCATCCGGACTCCATCCTTATCGCTTTTTCGGGCATATTTCCTACAAAACTAACGACAAAAAGTACCTCTATCATAGATTAATAAATAAGACATAGTAGTGCACAATCGAACGATAAACACGGCCAAATATCATAATATATCACTCATAATGCATGTAAATATGACGAATGTCAGAGGCGCTGGAAATTACAGAGAAATTTTTGGATAATGGAGGTTAGAAAATTCAAAGGTAAAAAATGTGATTCAAGGAAAGAGGGGAGATATTTATACAAGGGTAGATAGAAGGTTGGCCGTCATATTAAAATTGATATAAGGGCCGAGAATGAAATTCTAGGTACGAAAGTCGAGGAGACTGACAGACGGGACAATCGAAAGGATATGCACTGGGTACGAGACACGCCTCTTCAAATACTGGTCGAAAAAGAGGCATCTTGTGAATAGGTCGTCAATATTGCTATCATTATTATCGTAATTATCAATCAAGTCTATGGAGTTCAGAAAGCAATAACTCGTTTGATAATGGGGTTTAACACATAAGAGTAGATCAGCGAAGCCGGTCGAGGTTAGCTCAGTCTATAAAATGAAGATCAGCTAGGGCGGTTAGATGAAGAAGTAATAAAGTGATTAGATATCAGATTAACCAGGTGTAAGACACAAATAGGCATATATGAAGCTCGGTCCATATGTTAATATGGGCAGCTCGACATGGTTAAGGAGTTCGGCACACGTTAATATGAGTCAACCTAGCAATTAAAAACAGATTAATAGCTCAAGTACTGAGAAGCTCGGTACTCAGTGGTTCGATAAGCGACCCCAGTAAGAAGAACGACCTATACGACAGGTCGAGTCTAAGTTGTTTATAAGGGACACGTGTAAGGCTATGAATAAAAGGGATAAATAATCGAACGAGTAGGAATAAGGCCCAGATAACTGACGGTCATGCCTAGGGGTAGATCGAACGAGTAGGAATAAGCCCCAGATAACTGACGGGCAGGTCTAGGGGTAGCGTAGTAACCGACGGGCAGTAGGGCAGGGCAAAAGCTTGTTTAGAAAACTAATAATTTTCAATAAATAGGTAAATGTTAATCACATTTTATACAATTTAAGGTTTCATTATTTTACATACATTTTCCATATCCCTTTATTCACTTGAGAGTCGAAGATTTAACGTCGGGAACCTCTGCTGGCGTCTTTACAGGTTTCCGGCGAGCAGGGTAGCTGAAGGATCTTGGGGAGCTTGTTTGAGGTACAGGAGTACCTCACTTTAATTTTCTTAGTTTTATCCTATATTATATTTTCTTTCTTAAATGTTCATTGTTAGTTGCACAAATTTAGCCTTAATTATAATTTTGAGTTACTTCTAAAGTTGATTTCAAAATAAAATTTTTATTATGGTGGAAGAGTTGATGAATGTTGAGTTTAAAAAAACATATCAAAATCTAAATATAATTAAATAGTCATTAAAAAATAAAAAATAATTAAAAATCATTGGAGCTACGAACTAAATCGAATCGTTTCGATAATCTCGAATATCGAAGTGAATTGAAAATAAAAATCTCCAAACTGAATTGTCTCTATGTTTTATACGGTTTCAAGTACTGATCTGGTTTCGAATGTTGAATTTTTATGATATCCAAAATTCCAATTCTCCATAATAGTACCGACCGGTGAGCTCAATGCGAAGTACCGGATCGTAGGAGAGAGAGCGGAGGTGCTTCACTGCTTCACGGTTTGTAAGAGAAGACTGACTGAGAAATCTCAACTCGCTTCGCCCTATTTGATTTGACTTGAAACTTTCAAATTCGGCAAATAAAAATAAAATTGGAAAAGGAATTCGAAATCCAATTATCAATCACAAGCACTGCTGTCTTCCTTTTCTTTTATTCCAACCATTCTACTTTTCACATTCCCTCTCTCTACAGTCCAACAAGAGAGAAAGAGACGACGCAGCTGCTCAACAACAAAACAAATCTTCCAATTCGATTCTTTTCTCAGGTAGCAATGTCATCTCCTGCGCCGGGAGCCGCACCTCCTCCCACTTCTCCACCGTCAAACACTACTTCTCCGCCGCCGGCCGCTCCTGTTCTGCCTCCGCCTCCCCTCCCGGCGGCGTCCCCACCGCCATCATCTCCGCCGCCTCCACCAGCCGTCCCATCCTCCCCTCCTCCATCGTCATCTCCTTCCCCGCCAACCACCGCCCCTCCTCCGTCTCCACCATCTGGATCGACTCCGTCTCCGCCGAGTGGTGGTTCTTCTCCACCCCCAGCGGCCGGAGGCTCTCCTCCGGCGCCTCCGAGCAGAGATTCACCCCCGCCGCCTTCAGGTAGGGTCTCTCCTCCGGCGCCTTCAGGTAGGGTCTCTCCTCCGGCGCCTACAGGTAGGGGTTCTCCCTCGCCGCCGTCAGGTACGACGGGATCGACGCCGCCCTCTGATGAAGGATCATCGGGGATATCGACTGGGGTGGTGGTTGGAATTGCTATCGGAGGTGTGGCGATACTAGTGATTTTGAGTCTGCTGTTTGTATGCTGCAAGAAGAAGAGGAGAAGACCACAATCGGAATTCTACGTGCCTCCACCCGCACCGCCTGGCCCTAAAGGTAATGCTTTTCTCCCTCCCTCCCCGCTCTCTCTCTCTCTCTCTCTTCCTTTTTCAATATATTTGGTACTTGAAGGAAAATGTCGATCGATGTATAGTTTGGGGATTTTGCTTTATATTCATCACCAATGATGATAGGATGCTTAATATCTGTTTTTTGGAGAGTAAATGTTCATTCAGGCTAGATCGGAGTAAATTTAGTCAACTCCTCAGTATATCACCCAATTGATATGTGTGTTTGCTCGAGATGGGGAGGCCTACAATTCTTTGAACTTACCATACTGATTGTCAATATCGCTGATGTTGGTCAAAATGGTTTGTCTGAAAATTGCTCTGATTGCACGTCTACTATACAAGTTTTTTGAGTGTCTTCCGTTTCTTCTATGGCCTTTGTTGTTTCCTGTGAAGAAACACACTAGTAGTTAATGTAAGGTGGTGCCAATTTCTCATTCCTATTGTCAGAGTTGCATCTGCACATATTTTTATGGATAAGACAATGTAAATACATTATGTAAATTCCAGCCACTGGTGTGAATTTCCTGAGTTAAAGAAGAAGTAATTGGAGACAATTTTGTAATAACATCTTTTAACCATCTGCTTGGTGTGCCTTCTCATAAGGCCACTGCTCAATGTAGAATTTCTTATTGCACTAATCAATAGTTACCATCACCTTTATAATGTATGATTACCATACTTGCTCATTACCATCACCTTTTTCTTGTGTTTTCTAGCTGACCCATATGGTGGGCCCGTAAACAGCTGGCAACATAATGTTCCGCAGCCTCCTAATGATGTTATTAAACCTTCTCCATCGCCTGCTGGTGCATCTAGACCCCCATACACCCCTTCACCTCATCCTCCGCATGCTCCTCCTTTCATGAGCAGCAGTGGAGGATATAGTTCGAGTTCAGCCCCCGAAAGTGTACTCCCACCACCCTCACCTGGCATGGCCTTAGGGTTTTCTAAGAGCACTTTCACATATGAAGAGCTGGCAATGGCAACTGATGGCTTCTCAAATGCAAACCTTCTTGGGCAAGGTGGTTTTGGTTATGTTCACAGAGGAGTCCTTCCAAATGGCAAAGAGGTTGCGGTAAAGCAGCTAAAAGCTGGAAGCGGACAAGGGGAACGTGAATTCCATGCAGAGGTTGAGATCATTAGCAGAGTGCATCACAAGCATCTTGTTTCATTGGTTGGATACTGCATGACTGGGACTCAGCGAATGCTTGTTTATGAGTTTGTCCCAAACAATACACTGGAGTTTCATCTTCATGGTTAGTTTTATGAACGAGTACGTCTCTTTGGATTTTGTTGACGAAAAATTCCAAGTTGTGAAAAACTGAAACAGAGAGGATATAATCATGTTGCTCTTCATTGAGATTTTTATGGACAATTTTGGTTCATGTAGTTCTGTGCATTATATATTCCATATCGAATTATGTTTCCGATGTTTTTTGGATTTCGGAAACCTTTGCCCTCAACATTTATACGTTTTCAGGGAAGGGAAGACCTGTAATGAATTGGTCCACAAGGATGAAGATTGCTCTAGGTGCTGCGAAAGGACTTGCATATTTGCATGAAGATTGTAAGGGTTTTCTTGGCGTACATAGCGTATAAGAAAATAAAGAACATTTTTCTCCCTTGAAATGATTCTTTATGCTCCTAAAATGCTTAAATGGTCTGTATCAGGTCATCCAAAGATTGTACATAGGGACATCAAGGCGTCTAATATTCTTTTGGACTATAACTTTGAGGCAAAGGTGATCTATTTTTTACTTAAACCACAGTTTGTCTAGATTACAATGACCAGTTAACCTGCAGTGAGGTGTAGAATTTTGGTGAAACTTTAGAAGTATGAAGGTTGAGTTCAAATTTCCCATATCAGTTCTTTCTATGTTTATGTGAAACCAGTAAATGTATATTCTTACCGAAACTGTTGATATAAAAACGAGAGATAAGGTTGTCGGTGCCCCAGTGCTTACTGCTGAATGTTATCTATTTACTCAGGTTGCAGATTTTGGTCTCGCAAAGTTCTTTTCTGATACCAATACTCATGTCTCCACACGAGTGATGGGAACTTTTGGGTATGACTAAATTGCCTATGTTCGCTACACATGATGACTTAGGGAGGCTGTAGCCTTTTATTTTTTTCCCTTTCTCCTTTATATTAATTGGTTACAGTTGGAAGTAGCTTTAAAATATTGCTTTCTACAAACGTTGTAAGCTTTTGCTAAGTATTTATTTCATCATTCTGCTTCTTGATTGTGCAGTAACAAATATAATCTTGTAAGCTTTTGCTAATTATCTATTTCATCACTCTGCTTCTTGGTTGTGCAGTAACAATTTAATCTTGTAATTGCAGTTTGCTGCTGTTCTGATGTTTGGTGCTAAAAATATATCATTTTTCATTAATCTATAGGTATCTTGCACCAGAGTATGCTTCCTCTGGAAAACTTACCGAGAAGTCCGATGTGTTCTCATTTGGGGTCATGCTTCTCGAGTTGATTACTGGAAGGCGGCCTGTTAGCCAAGATCAGTCTTTCATGGATGATAGTTTGGTTGACTGGGTAAGCAACTTAAATATTAAGTGTGATGGCTCTTTACTGGTCGATCTTTTCTTTTATGCTTGAGCATCAGTTGTACGTAAGAGTTAACAATGAGGAATTGCAAATGCGTGGAATACAGGCTAGGCCCTTGCTCACACGAGCTCTTGAGGATGGAAACTTTGATGTCCTAGTTGATGAACGAATACAAAATGATCACAATCACAATGAGATGGCTCGTGTGGTGGCTTGTGCAGCTGCTTGTGTGCGTCATTCATCTAGGCGTCGACCCAGAATGAGCCAGGTGGTTTTTCTTCTTTTGAGTTACATATTTGTTACCCTTGCCTCAATCAAATAATGGTTTAAGTATTTAGGATTTACCCACACTTCCAAATCCCATTTCCAGAAACAAACTTTGAGAAAGCTATTTTCATTTTATCTAGCCACCTAAGGGCATGCTTGATTATAAATTTTTTCATTCCCATTCAATTCATACTCAAAATCTAACTCAACTTTAATCCAACTCCACTATCTTTAATATTATTTATATAACTAAATTACACAAACCAATCATTCTTACACATCACATCAATTTTAATTCATTATTCAACCACTCACATAATTTTAACTACCTATCATTTCCAATCATTTTCAATTATTTATCTCCTACTTTTACATCAAATCAATTTTAATCATTTTATTTTAAATATTATTTTAATACATTCTTAAAATTCTATTAACAACTAACCATACCACCTTTTTCAAAATTAACTATGGTTAACCAAAATAACTCATTTTGAACAAATTATTCTATAAACAAGAACCCCCTAAAATATTCTTTTTGGTATTGCACTGGATCAGCTTTTTCAAAGAATTTTGGATGCAAACGGAAATGTCTTTTTATGTAAAAGACCAAACAAGAAGTACTAAACACCTTCTGCCGAGCAAGACTAACTTACCCCAATTGCCAATGCTATTGAAGAATAGATCTATATTATCCTATTTTCACTGTATCTTATATACTATACTACATCTAATATAAAATGGTAATAAGAAATATAAGGGGTAAGAAAATAATAACATATAAGGAATAATAAATAAGTTAAATCCATAAAGATTAAACACTAATTAAGATCACCAAAAATCAGCGTAAATTATTCTAAGGTTGGGTGAATTCATTTCGGATACTTAAGACTTTAATGGTATTAGAGCATCTCCAAATGTTGTAGTTACATAAATTTTGACAAATGTCAATTAACTAGATGGATTGTGAACCACATAAGATAATAGTTAAGTTCACAACATTAAATCTAAAAAATTATCTCCAATGCATAATGTAACCAAACACAATATTGTACACTTGGTCAAAATAAAATAAATAAATTAAATAATTAGATATTTTGAAAATAGTAATAATATTTTCTCTCTCCTCTCTTCATTGGTTGAATAGAATGTGAAATAGAATGTAGATGAATCACATTCTTGTCTACATTGTACACATTAATTATGTCCACCTCCTCACTACATTTGTGATAACATTGTGCATTTGATGATTAAAAGTGAAGACATTGCTAAATTTGTTAATGTAAAGTGTAATTTACTACAACTACATTTGAGCATTGGAGATGTTCTTAAGGTTGGCTGTATTCATTCCTGATACTTTAAAGGCTTGAATGGTATGATTGGTGATGGAATGAAATTTGATAGAATGGAATAATTATGTGAATAAAAGAAGTTTTTCCATTAATGTGTTTGGTTTGCTAAAAGAATAACAACAAGAACATACCCAGTATATTCCCAACAGGTTGGGGTCTGGGAGGTCAGTTGTACGCAGACCTTACCCTTGTAATTATACAAGGAAGGCTGTTTTCGTAGCGACCCAAGGTGCATTGCGCCGTTTGATATATATATATATATATTTTTTTTTTGTTTGATAATTTTTTTTTTTTTCTAGAAACTTCACTAATAGAAGAAGCACTAGAATTTAATTAAGCCATTTTGATCTAGTCCATTATTAGCACTATGTCAGGAGAATTGTCAACAATGACTCTCCAGCTCCATTTGCAATGGACAAAGATAAAAGAATAACACTCGAATTAAATGATATTATCATTATGTATTATCAAAATATAATTTCAATATTTATATAAAAATAATTTTTAAATTTTATGTTAATATTTATATTATTTTTCTTGTAAAAAATATATATTATATTTTAAATGAATATTTTTATATTGTTATACTTGTGTATAATTACTTATAGTTTAATTCCATTTATGAATAAGTATAATATAATATATATATATATAAACACAACTAAGATCTTTCCAAAACTTATTAATAAATGCATTTTTTATAAATTTTATTGAATAATTATATATATATATATATAAGTCAAATATGCATAATAAATAAAAAGTAAAATTATTGTTAATCATTTATTTAAAACTTAGTATTTATTTTAATCATGATTAATAACACAAATTATATATTAATATTTTATTGTTATTTTTAGCTTATTGAAAAAACCAAATTAAAGATATGAGAATGAGTAAATCATACATTAGCGATGGAATGACTAATCCATGGAGGTTGGTTTTGCAATTTCCATTGGAATGGTAATTTCTTCCTAAAAAAATATACCAATCATACAATTAGGAATAAGTAAGGGAATGGTTATTCATTCCAATGTCATTCCATCATACCAATTATGCCAAGATTTTAAGAATCCTTTTGTATTGAATTTGGGTCTTTTAAAAAGGTATTCATTTGAGATTTCAATGTCGTAAAAAGTCATGATGCAAGATGTATTCATTTAGGATTTCAAAGTCTTATTAAAAGTCATGAGGTGTTCAAATTATCTATCACTTGTATTTGTCTAGACAAGATTTTGACAAGATTTAGTGAGATTTTAACTAAAAAATACATATTCGGAATCCCACACTAAATCCCATAATTTCTTAAGGTTTTAGTTACATTAAAAATTTTGAAAGTCTCGAATTTCAAAGTCTTAAAATGTCAATCAAAGTATCAAATGAATACACCCTCTTAAGATTGTTATCCTTCCATTCTTGCATCTCTATCAATTTAACACTAGAATAATATTTATATAGGTTTCTCAAAACGCTTGAAGCAACCTTTTTATCTCTTATATTTTCAATTCATAAGCAACATGAATAACAAATAAAAGGCCTCCAGAGTCGTTTCTACTCTATAGTTTCTAGTCACAGGATCCTCCGAATTCAAATACTATGAAACAAATGTGAACTTGGATGGGCTGTGTCTTATGTGGTGTAACAAATCTATTGTACTGGAACTCAGATTTTTTTATTTTTATCTTTTCCCTAAATAAATAGCTGAATATCAGTATTTTTTATCTGAGAGCAGGTTGTAAGGGCCTTAGAAGGAGATGTATCGCTCTCCGATCTCAATGAAGGAATAAGACCTGCCGGGCACAGCACAGAGAGCTCGGACTACGATACTGCTCAATACAATGAAGACATGAGAAAGTTCCGGAAAATGGCACTCACAAGCCAAGAATATGGGAGCACTGGCCAGTATAGCAACCCTACAAGCGAGTATGGCTTATATCCATCTGGTTCAAGTAGCGAAGGCCAGCAAACGAGAGAAATGGAGATGAGGAAGATGAAGAAGGAGACGAGGGATTCTGTTAACGGCATATGACGAACAATGCGTGTATATTTTCGGTGTTTGTGTTGCTTGGATCCTATTGATTCTTTGACATGTTTGGCTTGATTTCGTTGCAGGTACTGTAGTATTGTCCTTTTATTTTTTTCCGTTTTATTTTTTTACTCTTTCTTTTCTATTTTGGTTTTTATTTTCTGTATTGTTCCCAAATGTATTCACTGTAGCCTAATCAAACAGTTTCTAAAGGCACACTTGTGTTCATCATTTGATGCTTAGATGGTTTACTGTTTAGAGCTGTCAGAGAGCTGAGGCATGTGTATAATGTTTAATACTTGAATGGGTTTTATTGATTTCATAAATCGTTATTTCCAGATCTATATATAATTTAAATCTTTATTCTTTTACGGTATTGGTCATATTTCTTTTGCAAATTTAGGAACGGGAAATTGATTTTACTGGTGATTGTTCATTTTCTTAAGTTTGAATGAGAGGCCTTGTTGGACATTGGTTGATAAATCGTGTAAATATGTGGGTTGATGATGTTACTAAATGAGATAATATTTGGCGATGGAAATATATAAATTTCGTAATGCATGCCACTTTCTTGTGGATGTATATGCATTCAATATTTACAAGAGAAAGATTTTCCAAAAACCTATTAATTTTTGTAAGTCAACTAAAATTCTTGACGAATAGACGGTTTTCATTTGACCATACAACAAAAATTCAATAACTCTGCTAGGAACGATGATTTTTATTGCATTCTAAGTGTAATCCTTTATCTGATCCTAAGTCCATCATTCTAAAATTGTAAGCCTCTAGCTGGAGGGGTGCAAATGCTCTTAGCACAACTTTCTAGAATCGTCCAATAGAAGCTCGTCACGGTGATCCCATTATGGTGGAAAGCCTAAAATGTCCACATGTAAATTAGTTACATCCCCGACAAATCGATAATGGAGGCTATAAGACTTTTAAAATTATTTTAATTTTAAAATATTCCTTCTCTCATTTAGTATTTTAAAATGAGGAATTTTTTAACATGCAATTTTCATAATTAGTTCACATGTATTCAAGCAATAATTAATTAAACATGCACATTAAGCAATTAATATCAATAATAAAACATGAAAATAAATTCAACTACAATGGCGATTAATTAGAATCTAGCAGATTAAGGAAACCGATCAATCCATGTCCAATTGGAATTGAATTTCCCTTATCAGCCTAGAATTCCATATCCAACAATCTTCTTGTCCAAGAAAGTCGATCGTCGGAGCTGCCCATCCACCGCGCGTCGTTGTCGTGTCATCCATCGTGGTGTCGCACGTCCAAGCCACTCTCTTCATATCCAGCTGAGCATCGTCAATCCCCTTGCATTGTCGTCGTGGGAATGTCGTTGTCGCCGTCAGATGTCATCGGGCTTCTCTCGCACCTGCTAGACACGTTGCACAACTCAAAGGCCTTGCTGCGTCGTGCGTCGTCTGCCTGAGCTTGCTGGGCATATAACGTAATTGCCCGCGTATCGCGCGGGTAGTCAACTATCGTCGGGGTCGTGCGTAGAGGTTATGTGACGGTGCGAAAATTATGCTCACCGGCCCGCAGCTCGTCTCCCACCATCGTCGTGGCCTCCCATTGCGCTTTCGCACGACTTGCGTGATGAGGATCGTGTATTTTCCTAACTCGCTTTGTCTCGATACCCACACCGACACCTTGATTTCTAAGCGTTAGGTTGCTAATATGCGCGCGGATGCCTTCGTACTTTGCTATTTTTTTAAGAAACTCAGATGTTGAACCTATTTCTAATACGATATTGTATGTAAACTCACACAAATTAACACACAGATTAGTGTTCAAATCGATCATTTTTCTTACTTCTTGAACTTGAACGATATATGAAAAAGATGAACTAGGAATAAGTATTTAAAAACCTAAAACTATTCCTAGACTTATGAGAAGATCTAATCCTAAGAGAATTAGAATTCTTAACTTAAGGAAACCAAATATCTATGCTACCTTATTATAGAAGTCCCAAGCATATTATACACCTAAACAATCTAGAAAAATCAATTAAATAACGAATTAATAGCTAAAATTCGACCAGGTCCTTGGAGAAGCTTCTTGTTCCTTCTAGATGGTCCTCTGTCACTTGGCACCCAAAAAAAACTCGTCGAACTCCCCAGCCATGCGCATCTCTTATCAGAGCTAGGTCTCTCGCGTGCGTGCTGCACAGGCGCTCGAAGGTCTCTGCCTGGCAGTCTCTTCTAGTCGTTGTCCGCACATCTCAATTCGCCCGCGCGATAGTTGCGTGTCTCGCGTTGCTTCGTGCAGGTCGACCCATGCCAAAACGGTTGCTCCAGGTCGTCTCGCGCCCAATGTTGCGGGTCTTGGCAGTGACCCGAGTCTCTCTTGTGCGTGCACGTCGGGCGCGATCATGGGTGTTTGAAGGTGCAAAACCCACCTTCACATCATTTCTGATCCTTTAAGCACATCCTGCCGTTTGTGTATTCTCCCTTCGTCCACTACATCTAAGCTACTTAACTCCGCGCTTTTAGCCCCTCCCTTCGGTTTGGTCTTTAGCATGATCAGCCTATTATTGGAATAGAACTCCATTATTCCCTCCTTATAATTTTTTTTGACTTCCCCAAGTCCTCCTAGCCATTGTACTCCGAGAACTATGTTAGGCCTCACCAACGATAATTAATAGAGGTCGGCCTTGATGGTCTCGCCTTGAAGATTGATGGGCACCTCTCGATAATACTCACAGCATCGTAGCCGTTTCCCATTAGCTACTCTAACATTAAATGGCCCCACCTTAGTCGCCGGTAACTTCAACTTGTCGGATAAAATCGCGCTAACGAAACTGTGGGACGACACGATATCAACTAACACCTCGATGGATCGCGCTCGAACTGAAGCGGGCAACTTAGGGCTTGATTGTTTTCGGTTTAGTATGTAATTTAACTAGATTTTTACAAGAAAAGTGGCCTAAAATTACTAGATTTTTACTAGATATGTATTCACATGCTACATGTGGCACCCTCCAAGTCACATGTTCTGGCTGCAATTACAGTACATTGTCGGCCAAGATATGGAATGCCTCGTTTTTTATTTTNTTTTTTTTGTTCCCATGCATCGTGTCTCTAAAATTCATTTCCATGCAGTGACAGATTTCAATTTTATTTTGGTGCCTCCCCCTAACAATATTTTGGGCAAGAAATAGTGCATGGTTATTTTCTTTCAACATTCATGGCCCTGGTATTATTACTAGTAAACACTCGCAGTGCAAAGAAAAAATAAATAAATAAATAGAATGTTGGAGACAAAATAACGGGCGTAAATATGAATTTCGTTGGAATTTCCTTCATTACAAAACACATTCTGATAGAGGTACCCATCCTAAATTTGAGTGAGCACATAACAAGAGACTTACAACTTTTTAGGACCTAATATATTTAACTAGATCTAGAAGACATAACATTCCGAAAATAACCAAAACTAATAAAAAACAAATTGGACAAGCGATTACAAATGTGGTCAGATAAGTTGACGAGAGTGTGTCGTCATGGAGTTTGTCGTTGTGCTCGACGGGTCTCCAAGATGTGAAGCATGGTCACTTTGTCTGCTACTTTCTCCATCATCTCGCATAGTGCCGTGAGTATTGAAACTCTCTTGCGAATAACCTTCTTAGTTCATATCAGTTGCCCAGATGAAACTTCTCTGGTGTTGTTGCCCGACTGGACATCGAAAAAAATACTTACCGTAATTCTTTCCAGTACGTGCCATAAAACGCTTTATAGGACCTTTGCCACAAGAACACATTGGTGGTTGGGGAAACATGATGTACTTTTGATTTTTGTGTGGATGTATTGCCTTTCGGGAGTACCCCTATTTATAGATTGAGGAAAAAAATATGGAACTAATTGTGAAGGTGCAAATGAGCCCGTGGTCAACAATAACTATAAAAAAGCAACCCTTCTCTCCAATGCTTGCAGCCTTGCAGGGGAATCGGCCCATCTAAAGTCCTTTCACCTCATTTTATTTGATAAGGCAAACGTGTTGTCATGTATTTTAGTTCTTTACCTTTTAATTTTTCATTTTTCTTTTTACTTTGTTATTTTGGCCACCTGCACCTTGGGGGTCAACAATAGCTCTAAAAAAGCAACCCTTCTGTCCAGTGATATATTTTAATGGCTAATTAGAAGAAGTCTAGGTAATAACAATGGAATGGTTATTAGAAAAAGGCTAATCTTTTTTAGCAATAGGTGGTTAACATAAAAGGGCACGAGAAAAACATTATATAAAAGGTGGTTACACGCCATTGAATCTTTTTTTATTTAAATACCTCAACAAACAAATAACCGCAAATAATTTTAATGTCAGGGCCTTCTTCGCGCAGCCATACGACTAGCTTCTGCCATGTAATCCGCACATAGTTGGTCCAATGTCGGAAACTTTGGATGCCTCTTGAATATTTCTTCAGTCGGGTAATATTGAAGGATTATGGTGGCAAATGTTGTCTTCAAGGTATCCCACATAGGCTCTCGACAATGAACATAATGTTCTACAAGCGGCCAGTGTTGGAACACACATAATTTACAACAAACAATAATTTGAGAAGAAGTCATACCTTCTTTACATGAAGCACATATTTCAATAAAAATAAGCGTCTTACATGGTTCACCGTTTCCCTTTGGTAGTCATCAAGATAGACCTTGTTCAGTGTTACGTCGCAAACAACATCTCCTTGGTCCAACAAAAACCTAAACGTATGGTACCTGTCCTTCAATACCTTGAACGTGACATAGCATTCCATAAAAGTGAGGTTGGGAGAAATTTCTATGAGACACACATTGTACAATCGGTTGAATGCTTGCTCGATCTGACTCGTGTGACATAGCCTCTGATCGAATAAAATATTATAGTATCATAAATAAACGCTCTTCGTTGCGCGCATTCCATTTGTTTGAAAAACCTTCACGTATAAATTCAAAGTGTTCAACCTTTGTGTTTATTTGTGGCAAATTCATGATTTTGTTGTATTGCTTGAATGCAGTGATTGAAGATGGCAAAAGCCCACTTACCATGAGTGTATTTATAAGTGGAGAACAACATGTGTCATTTACAAGAATATTGCACGGCTAGACAAATCTTATATGTGGGCCAATATTTTTTGGGGCCATCCATTTGGTTTGTAAAATAATGTTATAAACAATGTGCCTCATTTTGTACCGAACCTAATATATTTACATTTTTTTTGTTTCTAAATATAGAAGGACAACAATTTCTTTTATATTAATATGATTTATAAACATAGCCTACTCAGTTTGTGTTATTTTGGTTGTAGTATACAATTGTAATAATGAAGATGAACAATAATAACATGCATTATAGCATAATAGGAGAGTATTCATGACTCTCATCCATGAGTAGTACATGTCCACAAACACCATCACATAATTTTGTTACACGATAAAATATGAGTTCACCCTCAACACAGATTAACCTAGAAACACAAATTACACCAACGTAACCTTGAAACGCACACAAATATAAGGAATTATTGTGAAGCACCATGTAGACTCTTCAACCATTTCAGTATCATCCACAAATTCCTGAGCATCCCAATTTTGCATCAATACTTTTCTTTGTCCTTCAACTATTTGTAATTCATATCCACTCTCCTCAAAGCCCAAAATTACTCTAGTTAAGTCGATCGACTCGGCTAACATGTAAGATCACCAAAAATTAATGGAATAGGCTGCAATAGCGGGTAGTTTTAATTATTTATGTATGCGCTTAAAAATAAATTAAAAATAAAATAATTTAAACGGAGAGTGATACAAAATTACCAAGCGCGCACGTTCCACATGGGTCTTTTTAATCTGCAGCGTACAACGGTGTCAAAGATCCCGTTCAACTTGATTGTCTGTGAGGACTGTCACTACAAAATCCGTTAAGGATGTGCGGTCGAACCACAGACAATTGTCGGTCATAATGTCCTTAGAACGCACAAAGTCTCGCCACCCTTCATAAAAAAACCACCCGAAAAGGATTACCTCTCATTGTGACGTTATACCTCCGTCCCTCTCTGGTGGTAAGGGTGCACTGAACAGGTATAAGGTGGCTATATTGATGGTTCAGAGTGTCCGGAAGCTTCTGCGTTGCACATAACAAAAATCAAATTACACTTTATATTTGATAAGAGGTATTTTTCTACAAAAATAAAACATCAACATGATGATTCGTATTACGAAAACGTACCAATGTTCATTTCTCTGGATTGACAATGAACTTGAAAATCTCTCAAAGTGCTCGGACATGTTCTCTTACGTGTTATCTACGTGGATAGTGTGAAGGCGTTAAAAGGTAAACTTTCATATGAAAAAATGGACTTCCTGGACACAACAAAGGTAAGGACAAAGGACAACATACA